CCCCTTGACTCAAAATTTTGTTGAGACCTTTGTTTCTTCCCATGACCCCTAAAAAGGTCGTAGTAAGGACCCTAAAACCGGCTTAGCCGGCGTACACACCCGAAGGCGGACGAGTTCTTAAGCGTAAAAAGCTGTAGAGGTCGCACCATCCGCATCGGGGCGCATACATCACACGCAGGTCATCTATTGTAGCCAGTTGTAGTCAATAGTACGTTCATTTAAACAACTCGCACTGGGACCCACACCTTGTAAGGAGGCAGCTTACCGCAGCCAGCTGTATGCAACGGCGAGCACATTTGATCAGCTCGTCCAAATAATTTGATTTGATCTCGTCCAAATTGCAAACAGATAATTAGGAATAATCGTTAACTGTGCCATCAACTGGTACGATTGTACAAAAGTTCCCGATCCGTGGTGACATCCCTTATCCTTTCTCCCGTATTTTTCGTATTTGACATAACTCAGTGAGGGTATGCAACTCAGGAAGCCATTGCACTTTTTGCTTCAATGATGCCTATTCTCTGTCAGACAGCAGCCTGACTTGTTCAAATTGTCTCTCTAATTTGGCCTCACACGAATAGGCCTCTGAAAAATGAGCAACCGGCACGAAAGGCAATTGCGAAGGGCAAAAAGCTGGTGTCTTCCGAAATAAAACACACTCAATTTTTGATTTGTAGAGATTTTCGATCACAAAAATCATCAGACCACTGTGAAATCCATAAGGGTTGAGGATGATGGTGATGTCTCATTCAGCCTCCGAAGTGGAGTCAAGGGCGTCGTGAAGTTCTTTTCTCTTTCCAGTTCAATACTGAGTTAACAAGATCATCATTCAGTATAATTCAGGGTGAAGGTTGCCTGGTCACTTTGATTTAATCCGAGGCTTCTGCTCTCCTTTGCGCAAGTTTGGGTAACTGGTAAACCGTCTCCTTACTAAAAGACTTCGCAAGTCAAGTTTGTCGATCTAAATCTGGGGGTGGAGGAATTTCTGGAGAAAGATGGATGAATCATTGCCATGAGCAAAAAGTTGGAAATCAAAAGAGCAGAAATGGAGATAACGGGTACAAATTTGCCAGGCACCGGGCAAGAAAGCGCTGATGAATAGATGAAATTCGGTGGCCTATTGTGAGCCATCAAAATAATCTCATGAGAAAGATAAATTCTGACTGTGCTCACCTAGTAATGAACGTGCTGGGAGCATCTGCAGTGATCCTGGTTGACAACGACGACACCGGACGGCACAAAGACAACTGGGAGACGTCTCGCGACATATTTGGCGTAATTGCGGACCTTAAATGTTGCAACTTAAGGTGGCTGTTGCAGTTCAGCATTTGGTTCCATATTTATTGCTTTACTTTAGGTTTATTTACTTCATTTGCGCCTTGTTTGAAATGAGCTGGGTGAAAATGTCGTAAGGTGGGGAGAGGGTGAAAGGCACCGCTTTTCTTCGGCATGGATCTCTACAGGCAAAGGAGAAGGGGACTTCAATTATGCTTTGTGACGGTTCTCAGCGGAGGATTACAGTCTGTACTAAGTCTAAGGAAGAAGGATCATGGTGAATAAGGTGATTACTCCCTGTAAAAAGGTGGGATGGGGTTGAATCGAACATCCAATTGACTCCCCACTCCCCACTCCCCACTCGGTGCCCATTCCCTTCTGGGGCTTAGGTATAAGATAAAAGCAATGTTGACCTGACTAAGAAACTTGCCTATAAACAAATGGACTCGCAAAGTCGGATACCCCTTTTTTGAACTCTAGCGCTCAGTGCTGGAGAAAAGCAGTGCCCCCACCATAACTACATTTTCACCGTAAGCTGTTTAAAAATGAATTGGCTTGTGATGAGCGTGTTTAAAAACACAACACACCTTGAAAATATACAATGTAAACAAGTAATCAACAGGTAAACAAAGCTACCTTCCCGGTACGGTTAACGTATTATAGCTACCACCGTAGATACGCTGTTGATTTCTGGTGGAAAGCATTGAGGCCGACGAACACGATCCCATTCTCGACCGGGTGTCTTCCATTCCCTAAATAAGCCAATGATCGAGACTGATAGCTGAATTTAACCTGGAACCTCTGTAGTACTTGTAGACGATGTTTCATACGGGAATACGCCGATTTGAAGGTTGCACGGAAGTTTTGTGAAATGAATGCGTAGAGAATTGGATTGATACACGACTGGCAGTACGTCTGAAGAAGGGTTGACTAGAATTCTGTGCTATTTGGCTTTCTAAAACTGTAAAGTAACTATACCAATGCATTGAATCCCATTCTCATATGTTTGAGCGAAGGAGTATTTGATGTACGACAAATGTACCCGAATGATGTGAGAAGTTCATCAACTGGAACAAAGTTTTCAGTAAAAAAATCAAATGAATGAAAACAACAACAAAAATTTGTTCGATCAGGAAGTTACTTTCCCCTCGTGTACCGGTTCAGTGGTTCAATTCCCCGGTTCTGCTAATACTATGCGAGGATCAAAGCTCAAGCCAACTTCCTCTCCTTCCTGATTAGATACCATCAGCAGCCATCCCGAGGAGGACGAAAACTGGCTCGATCATCTCCCACAAAAACTTTCAAAGAAGTTATGAAGGTATACAAGTATTACTGCGGTAGTACTCTTAAATGAAAAGATTAAAGTAGGTAGGTAGAATACATTGGACAGAGGTGGTGTAGTGGCAAGTGGCGCATTTCTCCCATGCACGGTTCCTGCGGCACTCGGATCGATACCCGCCCAGGCCAATCAAGCCTTCCATTCCTCCGGGTTGGTTAATTGATACTAGACTTGTCTAGGAGGATAAAAGCATTGACTCGTACATCGGCTGGACACGCTACTACGATTCTGAATTGGAGTCGAATGACAAGGCGCATCCCTCACGCGGATGATTAACGTCAACAGACTTATAGACAATAGTCCTTCTATCTTCAGGAGCAGTCTTCTCTCCCAGACTGTGAGCATACCTTTTAAACCCCTCTACACCGAAGTGGAGTTATGTTCACACGGTCGGAGAGCCGTTTCAATTTATGGATGGCTGACTCAATTTTACGGCAGAATGGTAATTGGCTTCTATCTAAGAGAGCACACGTTTTTTCATGTGGCCCTATAATTAAAGACAAAAGCTGCAGTGAAGGTCGGTAATAAATGCTGAAGAAATGAAAATGCTCGACGTTGGCTGTAAAACGTTGATGTGTCGATAAATCCAAAGAGAAAGGGTCGAATTGAAGAATAACAGCAGTGTACAGGGTGGGCCAAAATTATGATTACACGGAAATCACATCGCAGAAAACGAATAG